CCATGCCCCCCTCCCCCCTCGAGTAAGAGCTTCAAGCGTGTCCATCCCCCAAACGTTGCACATCTTACTCATTGTGGTTGTATATACCCATCCATTTTTAAGACATGTAGCCAGTGTCTTAAGTGGCCCAAGTTCCCTCAGTATCCGTCTTGTCTATCACTTCAGCCAACTGTAGACATTCTTGAACTTTTATGAAGAAAAACTTTAAGGCAAACTCATCCTATACTTTTCATATTTCTCAACAGCCTGATAATATGCTTGCCCCAGTAATTTCCTTTTAATAAATCATTTATCTGTATGCATTATTTGAAATCAATAACATACTAGGGATGACATAAAGATGGCTATGTCATGAAAATATAAAATAGAGCTGCAGAATCAAAGCTATGATATATGTGTGTTTGCATGTTCATGGTAGAGGAAGAGTGAATATTTCTCAGAAATTGTTCTGAATTCTGTCAGTGCCTTGTGTCAGTTTCTTGATATGAAACATAATGCTAAGCCAACGATTCTGACAGTAAGATTCTAGAAACCTCATGCTCCAAATATCAACTGTCATGGCATTTTGAAGAAAAAATGTCTACATTGCATTGTATGTTTGCATTGCATTGTGTTCACATATATGCATAAATACCTATATTTGCTCTTTTCTCCTTCACTACAGATTGCACTTCCTCTCTTGGGAGACATCGGGGCCTTGCTCAAGGTACTCTGTTGCTATGTAAGAAATTGTGTGTTAATTTCCAGGAAAAATCAGAGAGGAAATTATGTAGCAGAAATTGAGTTAATTGCTTAGCCTGAACTATAATGCAATTTTTAAATGGCAGGACATCTTGATTGTTATGTATCTCATGCCATGTGTCCTACTCCCTCCACTCTCTCCTTCTTTTCCAGCCTCACATTTTGAGGGCAGGGGAGGAGGGTAGTTCTGAGATAAGCTACAGGGAAGGAAAAATGTCATTAACACGCTGGGGTAGATCATTCTATCCTCTGGGGAAGTATCTTTCTCTTTACCCACCCTGCTCCTAATTCTCTAATGTGTGTCTGGCCTGGTCAGTCCCAAGATGAAAACCACTACTACTCAGCTTGCAAGGCTGAGTTTTGTTGTCATAGGATTTTACAAAATTACAAAGACAACAATCTCCCTAACACTTGTTACTCTCGTAAATAAAAATCATCTCTACTTATTATGTATCTCATAGGGAATTAATCTTGCTACTTTTTTTCCTCTAATACTTCCCTGTACTTTAGGTGTAAAACAGCTTGGGTAGGGGCTGATAATTAGGCATATGTAAGGTTATGTATTTAATGTTTGCATGTCCCTGCCTAATATCAGTGCTAAGATTTGCATCTGCATGCACATCAGGCCTTTAATACTCAAATATTGTGTGTCTCATCTGCCTGTGTATGAATGGACAGTATACACACATGCACACACACTTAGGTGATTTAGTTTGTATTCCTAGCAGTTAGCCCAGTGATTTACACAATATCTTGCACAATAGTAGGCAGGCAGAAATATTTGTTGAATTGAATTCAAAGACTCAAGAGTTCTAGTATATATATTTGTTAGACAGTTGGAGTTTGGAGACTAGATATATAAACATAAATTAAATATGAATATAAAACATATATTAAAGGAGTTTTAAGGCCTCTAAAAGCCAGCATTTTTATTGAGTTACATGGCAGTCAATGCACCCTTTTACTTATATCATCTCATTTAATTTTCACAAATAATCTTATGAGTTCAGGCTTGTAGTGGTATTCCCATTCTATAGATGAGAGACCTGAAGTTCTGAGCAGTTAAATAACTTGTTCAGAGTCTCACAGCTAATAAATATAACATTAATACAGAAACATGGGCCCTTAGACATCAAGTCCTGAGTTCTCTACAGGAGCAGTGGTGCTAGATATAGATAGACTACAGGAATTGTATCAGTCCAGAATAGTTATGGTTCTTTAGTCTAAGGATCAGAAATTTGCACACTTAAGTAGCAACAATATGCTGACAGAATATGGGGTAGATCACAGAACAGACAGAAAGGCTCCGAATAGGCTCCCACAGGAACCAGGATTCCAAGGGTCTCAGAAGGAAGTAATTGACAGTCTCACCAGGGCAGATTCCTCTACTGAATGCACTCTGCTGCTGTTCCAGTCCCAGCATCATTTCACTGAGGTTCTGAGTCCCAAGAGAGCAGGACAGCTTGACTGCCAGTCCCAATAAACTGTATTCCGTAGAAGGGGAAAGTATGTATTTCCCCAAAACAAAACTAAATGTAGGAATTTCGATTGAGGGTTGGATCTATCAGGTCCATTTCATAATGTAATATTAAAACCTGATCTTATTACCTAACACATTCATTCTCTTTCTCTCTCCCTTGAGTCTTCAGCAATTTGATCATCGTACTTTCTGTTCTCAAAACTCTCTTTGATTAAAGCATTGAAAAGAACTGGCACAATTACAGGCCCAAATTGTATTTCTTCAAAGACCTTCTGGGTTAATCTGTGTATCAATCTCCCTTTCAATGAGATTGTGTATTGGCTAATAATTGATATGTCTTTATTCTTCCCATAAGAAAATCTTAAGACCTTTTTTCAAGAACCTTAATGAAATTCAGGTTTCCTTAATTTATTATATCAGTCTGGTAACCCTAACTTGAAGAAAATCAAGTCAGTTTCAAATGACTCTTTTTTTTTTTGTTCTTTTTAAATTATTTATTTTATTTATTTATTTATTTAGAGACAGAGTTTCACTCTGTCAGGCTGGAATGCAGTGTCCTGATCATAGCTCACGGCAACCTCAAACTCCCAGGCTCTAGCGATTCTCCCACCTCAGCCTCCAGAGTAGCTGGGACTACAGGCACGTGCCTCCATGCTTAGCTAATTTTAAAATTTTTTATAGAGATGGTGTCTCATTATGTTGCCCAGACTGGTCTCACACTCCTGGTCTCAAACAATCCTCCTGCCTTGGCCTCCCAAAGTGCTGGGGTTACAGGCGTGAGCCACCACACCTGGCCTCAAACGAGTCATGAAAAATTCTATTGACTCGTAATGATTATCACTTCCTAATGTTTATTAAAACAATCAATTGAATAATCAATTCTAAAATGTTGCTGCATATTAATCTGCCCAGATTTTACTCTGAATTGATATGCCATATTTAAATGTCTGCAAATACAATAATTCATCTTTTTCATACTTGTGAACTATGGGAACTCTTTTGTTTCTCTAAAGTTTTCAGGTATCTCTTCATCTTCGTAGCTAGCTTTTCAGATATTATCAGTGGCAGTTCTGTAATTATATAAATATTTGCAACTCCCCTACCAACACATTAGTTCTGTGAAGTAACCTGGGTGGTAAAATTAGTTTGGGCAACATTGCGCATAACTGTAGCTCTGTATTATATATTCAGACTCTAAGGAGAACCACCTTGAAGAGAACTATTTAACCCAGCATTTTTTAGATAATTTGTCTCAAAACCTTTTCAATATCATGCAAAATTAGTGTTATAAGGAACTTATTTTTGGAAATCAGACCTATTGAACTTGAATAGTCATGGGCTTTCTTGCCAACTTCTCGACAATGGCAAGTTTCAGCTCCCTTTTCATGTTTAAGGATTCTTCCCTTTAGTGGAAAGGATGGATGAACAGAGGCTTATATTAATATTATCCTACCTTTTGTCAATTGTTAAACTGTCTCCTCCACTCAGTGCTCCTTATCTTATGCCTTTCCTGTTCATATTCTTATTCTAACAGTTTATTTAAAAATAAGCCTTTATGAGAATTTGTCACACTTTTTCTTTACTATGAGATGAGATTTATGTTTATATTGTGAGCTCAGACACATAAATTCAAGCCTTTCCAGATCAGCTAAAGGTTGCAGAGAAGGCAATGGAAAGGTATTTCCACTTAGATTTTCTGTATTCACTCGGATTTGACATAGGAGTCAAGTCTAAGCCACTCAAGTAATTATTTCTCACATGAGTACCTCCACTGACAAAATGTTAATAAATTGTGTGTAGGGTTCTCCCACTAATGTTGCTCCCAAAAGAAGAAACATCCTTTCTTCCTAGTAGTTTTTTCTTTGTTTGCATATGATTTATACTATGGATTATATGAACTCTGTAGTCTTGCTGGATATTCCAAACTTTTTTACCACCTCCCTTTTTATTATATTTTTAATTTTAATTATTTTATTTTTAGGAATAGCATCTCACTCTGTCATCCAGGCCCCATCATAGCTCACTGCAGATCAAACTCTGGGCTCAAGCAATCCTCCTGCCTCAGCCTGCCAAGTAGCTGGGACTACAGGCATGCACCATCATGCCTGGATAGTTGTATTTTAATTTTTATAGAGATGGATCTCACTATTTTGTCCAGGCTGGCTTCAAACTCCTGGCCTCAAGTGATCCTCCTGCCTTAGCCTTCCAAGTAGCTGGGACTACAGGCATGCACCATGATGCCTGGATAGTTGTTTTGGTTTTGTTTGTTTGTTTGTTTGTTTGTTTGTTTGTTTGTTTTGTAGAGATGGATCTCACTATGTTGTCCAGGCAGGCTTCAAACTCCTGGCCTCAAGCGATCCTCCTGCCTCAGCCTCCCAACTACTAGGATGACAGGCTTGAGCCACCATGCCCAGCCCCACCTCCCTTTTTAAACATGCTGCTAAGCAATTGAAACTCAGTCCGTGCTCTTGACTTCCATGAGTTTTCCTTATTTATTTGGAATTTCCAATGTAAATATCATCAGAGATACGTGTTTCAAATGAAAGTTCACCAATATCATAAACACATATTATCGATTAGCGTTGTAAATAGTTTTTACCTCGTGAAAAGTAATCTTTTTAAATTGGATGCATCAAGTTTCTAAAAGCAGAGTGACCTAGCAATTGCTATATCACTCATCCCTGACAAAGGTTCAAATAGAACTTCGAATCAGATCAAACCTTACTTTCCTGGGCAGCTTTTATGGATCTCTCAGGAACCTTCTCTTTATACTCACTAGAACTTCTGTGGCAACTGCCAAGCCAGTGTCCCCGGGTTGAAAAGCAGCAAAGGAGAAGAAGGAGGTGCTGGCGAGCCTAGAAAGCCTGATTCGACAGCCAGGAAGGTAAGAAGGGTGCTGGGGATGTACGGACCCATGGGTTGCACACAGCACATTCTCTCAGCTCTGCTACTCCTCTGTCCTCCAGGGTGAAACAGGGCCTCGGGGTCCTCAAGGAATCCCAGGCAGAGAGGGACCGAAGGTAAGGAAGACTCTCCTCCACTATCTTCTGTGGGACCCTCAATTTAATGTAAAGAAAAAAAAGGAACCCCATTTTAAAATATAAAACTTTTTTAAAAAAAATATGTAATACATAATGAGTGAGATGTGCACCATCTAGGGGATGGTCATGATGGAGACTCAGACTTTTGGGGGGGGGAAATGGGCATTTATTGAAACCTTAAAATCTGTACCCCCATAATATGCCAAAATAAAAAATATATATATATATGTAATTGGGGAAAGTAGTATAAAAGCCACTTCTAAATGTTGTGATTTATTTTTTCCCTAACTCTATCCATATTACATGCCCCAAGTGTTCTTAGATTTTTTTTTTCATTGGCCCCAAAGATAACAAAATGATTGAGTGTACTAGCTGGATTTATTGTCTTTTTAGGGAAGCAAAGGAGAGCGGGGCTACCCTGGGATACCTGGGGAGAAAGGTGATGAGGTAAAAGATTATTTTTCTCATAATATGGTCCTAATATTGATTCTTTTTATGTGAACTCAACAGAGGAAAGACATCAGTTTTTCTATAGTTCATATCCAATGCTAAAAACAAACTAAAAAACAAAGACTAGGCAGGCTTTTTTAAATGTTAACACATGTGAAATAATAATGTGTTCGTGTCTATTACCAAGTGGTCCAGTTTTTGAGACAAGGAAATTAAAACACAAAGTTAATGTATCAGTTACAGTTCTTCTGTTTTCATGCAGCTGGTAACAATTCCAGCTCTCGCAAAATAAAAGTAAGGTGAAGGAGAAAAAGGGAAATTTACTGAAAAGAATCCCAAGGCAGCTAAGAGAATTAAAGGAATAATTGAACAACCGCAGCTCCAGAACTCAGCGGAGCTTCCCTGGGATACAGCTATAACATGATTCAGCCTCAACAACCTTGGTTTGTCTCTGTCTCTGCTCAACTTTGAAAGTCTAGGGAGAAAAAAAAACTATCAAAAGGATCTGATTGGACTAGTTTCGATCAGCTGCTCACCCTCTGGACTATGGTTCCAAGTCAAATGGACTTTTGAGATAATGGTATAATTTTCTGACTCTAAGCCATGGTGATGCTCAGGATATCATTTTTTTTTCCTGAATACTTCACATTAACTCTTAGAAAAACCAATTAGAATGATGAATTGCTGTTAGTTTAAACAGTTTGGGTACTAATAATTCTTAATGAAAGTAAGTAAGCCATCTGGCATATATTAACCTTGATGTTATTGCAGAAAATCATCACAGTATAAAGTAGATCTATGTTTCTAGTTGGAGTTATATTTCACATTAGAAATTATCATCATGTGTTATTGTTTTTAATTAATATTGCTTCTCTTCTAGAAAACTTTAAGGTTTGGCTTGGTTTTTGTCCAACTTAAAAATTGAAGAATGAAGTAATTTATTTTCACCTAGAAATAAAACAGGAAAGGCTTTTTGTCTTCAAAACAAGTAAGAGTTATTGAGCTTTTGCTTCTACGTGCTCCACAGAAGGTTTCACCAAAGAACAAGCACAATAACTGATTTTAATAGTCCAACAGCTTTTAACTGCCTAGATGTCAAAAGGTAGGCTTTAGAGGCAATTGAGAAGGTAATAACAAAAAGATCAGGAAATAATTGAAATTCAGGGGTTTTTTTATAAGTGATTCCAAGTTAAATTCACTAAAAGTTCATTTTTATTGATTCTGCGAGGTAGTTTGCTCTCTTGGTGAACTGAAATCCATTGTTAATATTCCTCCACTATTTTAGTATGGTATTATATATTATATATATATAAAGGTATTATATATATAAATACTAAATATTAAACACTATTTAGTATTTTAGTATGCTCTTTCTTAGGTACACCTTATGGATTCTTTAACACAGAATGCACAAAATTTTGTCCAAGACTCTTTATACACAGGCAGTTCCACAGCAAGTCCAGGACATTCTTTTCCATTATATCCTCACACCACGTGAATAATATGAATAAACCTGAAATAACATATTGACTCACTTGGGCCTTTCTGAGGGAATGAGATAGTGTAGTTTTCTTTCTGACAGATGGGAAATAATGAACATAATCTTATCTTCTACTTGGACTCAGATATTACCTGAAATTAGAATTTATTGATTTTTTTTAACTTTCTTCCTTTTTTGAGACAGAGTCTCACTCTGTTGTCTGTTGCCTGGGCTAGAGTGCCGTGGCGTCAGCCTAGCTCTCAGCAACCTCAAACTCCTGGGTTCAAGCAATCCTCCTGCCTCAGCCTCCCAAGTAGCTGGGACTACAGGCATGCGCCACCATGCCTGGCTAATTTTTTTCTATATATGTTTTTAGTTGTCCGGCTAATTTCTTTCTAGTTTTTTAGTAGAGACGAGGTCTCACTCTTGCTCAGGCTGGTCTCGAACTCCTGAGCTCAAACGATCAGCCTGCCTCAGCCTCCCAGAGTGCTAGGATTACAGGCGTGAGCCACTGTGCCCAGCCTATTGGTTTTTTTAAATGAATAAAACTTTGACCAAAAACATATGTTATGTCCAACTTTCAATAAACTATACTGTTTCAACATATCGTATTACATAATATTGTGTTATAAATCTCAAATATCTATTCTACTCTTTGTTAAAAAGATACAGAGGGACACCCCATTATTTTGAGGACTACTAATTATTATGTCTTATTTGTTTGGGAAATTAAAGGAAAGAGTTCCCTGCTTGTTTATTGCTCTTAGAAAATGAACATTGACTTCCACATTTTTCATAGATGTTGTTGCACACCTCAAGGAAGCAACTTATAAGAAGCTAATAAAACACTATAACTCCACTTAGAGTAAATTCTTGCTTGGAAGGCAGGTCATCCCACAATATTTAAAGATCATAATTATAAATAAATAAAATAAGAAATGTTGTCAGCCGTAAATTATAGCAATAGAAAATATTCTTGGTAGCAACTGGAACTAGGACTTGCAATATCAAAACATCAGAGTAGGGAAAGAACTTGACTCCAATGATCTCTGAATATCTGTGTAATAAATTTAAGTTTGTATTTTAATTTGGCACTGTATGTCCTACTCTTTAACATGTATTTGTCTTCTTTAATGACCATCTTGTCCTCTAAAATTATCTAATTGCCCTTTATGCATTTATAGTAACTTTTACCCTTACTACAAAATTTCATCTTATTCAGAGAAAGACTGCTGAGACTGATTTTTTATTTATGGACTGAGGTTTATTTTAAAGTTTAATGTGGTCATCAAAGGTTAATGAGTCCCAAGCTTATAAATTAGACTACCTAAAAACTCACTCAGCATCTCTAGACTGATTCTGTGTTGAGACTAACAGTAGCAAAAAAAGGAATGCATATGTACATGCACAGCTTATATGTGTACATATAGAGAGAATTTTATGAAATAGAATGTGGTATTTTGAGATAAATAAATTTAAGATTTAATAAATAAATTTAAGGCTTAAAAAATAAATTTAAGATTCTAAATTTAACATTTAGAATCTCCGGGAATTTAGAGGTGCCATTCTCAATGAAATTTTTTTCTCTGCATTTATAAACTTGTAAACAAGCTAATTGGTGGAGGAATAAATAAACCCAGTACAACATACTAATACAGCCCACACATGCACTTGTGCCCACACACACACACACACACACATACACATACACACTCACAGAATTGCCACGGAGGATACAATCTTGAAGAAATGAATGTCAACATGTCTTCAATGTTAAAGAATGTCAACATTCTTTAACACAACCATACATGAAATTTTGCCCAAGACTTCTTATTAATACATGAAGAACTCTAGCATGTTCAAGGAAATTTTTTTTTAGTATGTCTTCACATTATATCACATGAATAAACCTGAAACAACACATGATGCCATCGGGCATTGAATAAATGAGCCTGGCAGAACTTGGTTCTTGACCCCTGGATGCAAAGAACCTTGATCCAGCTCATAGTCCTTTAGAACCTTCGTAAATCAATATGCAGTCATTTTACCATGGTCACTTCATCTTACATTTATAATGCAAATAGAAATGCATATTTCATAACACTAAAAGGTAAAGGAATTTTATCATTACAAAAAATGTTTTGGCAATATAAAAAGAATACTTAACTCAGTAAAGAAAATTAAATCCTGAAAGAGTAGAACCATTCAGTAGAACTTGATGCACTACATGGTTATCAGCAGTAACAAAAGGGTATTTAAAAATATTTCCTTCTAATTATAGAAGTGATCTAAGTTCATTATAGAAATTTGAGGAAATACTCAAAAGCACTAAGAAGATAAAAGCTATATCTATTCCCACTTCCCAGGAAGGACTTCTGATAATAGTAATATTATGGTCCACAACATCTTATCCACAAATTCCCAAACACAAAAGCCTCTGAAAACCCTGAAAATTTTTCCCAAGTTCGCACCAAATTCATCTGGCGGCCAAATCTGACCTGAATTCACATGGAGCTGGTTTATTTATCCCACTCTGTCAGGATACCATATATTTTGCTACAGAAATATTTGTGTGTTTATTAGACGTTGCTGCCTCAGGCACCACTGGGAATGTTACATAATATTCAATATGTGTGTTATGTTACCTATGTAAAAAGTCTGAGAAAATCCATAATTCTGAAACACATCTAACACTACAGTTTCCAGATAAAACATTTATTTTTTTGTCATGATAAAATAATAAAAGATTCTATCATTCCCATCTTTTAGGAAGTACATTTATAGTTTTAAAATGTAAGCCCTATGCTATGTAACATTTTGAGACTTTTATGTTTTCGTGTTATCCAATAGTTTTCTAAAACATTATTTTAATAGTTGCAAAATATTTCATATTATGCATTGTATATAAGTTATTTAACTAATACCCTGTTGTTGACGCACTTGCTAAAGGAAAAATATAATCACACAAGCTGCCAGTTAATCTTGCCAATTCTTCTTTGATGTATAAATGTATCAGGATCTTAAATTCTATCCAGTGTAATTAGCATTATTCTAAAAATTCAAGGAGGGCAGAGAGGGGAAATCCATTCATTTTTATGCATAAGCATTAAAGGATTCAAAATTTTAATTCACCAGCGAGCCACATTTCTTCTTATAAAGAGCTGACCAGCTAAACTAAACATTATGTCATAAACATATTCCATTTTTCCACTAGCTGAGTGAAACGTTAGTGTAATTACATATTTCTTTGATGGCATTCTGCCAATCCAAAATGTGTATTTCCATGCTTTAGCAGTACTGGATTCTGACATACCGCTGCTGATAGGGTGACTGTATGATATCAGAAAGCCTTTATGAATCACTGAACAGATTAAATTGTATTTGTTACAGATTCCATGGCACTGTATTTTGGTTCACCATTCCTACTCTTTAGAAACTGGTACTTGTATGTGGCACACATCATGTTTCTCACTTAGCCAAAATATATGTTTAATTTTCAATAGTCTAAATATTTGATTAACTAGAATGCCTTGCTCTCAATGATGTAACAGATTTTATGGTAGGAACTATCTCTTCTAGGGTCTGCAAGGAATTCCAGGCATTCCAGGTGACCCAGGCCCTATTGGACCCCCCGTAAGTATTCTACTCGAAGCTCATGTCTGCTGGGATGGTGTAAGGTGACTTAACATTCCTCATTGCTCTTTGTTCTTTGTGCCTCTATGTTGATTGTCCAGCTATGGCCTAGAAAATTAGCCTCATCCAACCTCTTGGATTTTCATTTAGTATTAGTTAAGGCTGCTCAGTGTCCTGGAGACTTGTCATCAGAATTCCACCAGACCAGAAAGCAGTCTGTGATTAAGCTAGTGTGTTAGAAATGGAAATTGGATATAAAAGGGTGTTCTATTTTTTAATTATAATTTTTTGGCACTAATCTTTAGAAGAGATATTCAAATGGCACCACAAAGTGACAATTTATTTTCTGGAGGAAAAAAAATGGGCCAAGGATTATTAGATTTAATTTACTCCCATACATAAATTAAAATACACTCTATTTTAGTCAAAGCTTTCATTGCCCCTCAAACTCAATATCAAAGCCTTTGTGTCTTTAACTATCCTGTTTTCCTAGAATCTGGGTTTTTTGTTCTACCTGCCACACCCAATCTTTTATTCAAACAGAGTTCAATTCTAGAGTTTCCAGGTAAAATATTGGCCATGCAGTTAAATCGGAATTTCAGAAAGACAAATAATTTTTTAGTATAAGTTTGCCCCAAATATTGTATTTTTATCTGCTAAATCTAGCAACCCAACTCATGCCTCAATTTCTCCAACTCTTCCCTTCTAAGAGTTCCTATGCAGATAGTCTTTATCACAAAAATAGGAATATAATCATATTCCTTTATGTTTGGAATAATGGATTCACCAAAATTAAAATTTCATCATTTATGCTCTCATCACATTTATGTAGAACAAACCTGGCTTTAAACTGTATGCTAAAATTAAAAGTTATGAAGAAGAGTTATGAAAGGAACCATGAAAATTATTTCTAACTCTATTCCCAAAGAAGAATTAAAATTGAATTTTATTTTTTATTGCTGAAATGCAGATCATATAACTCAATATGCACATGTTAATTCTGCCGTGTCTTAAAGTGTTTAAAATGTTGATCGCTACCAAAATTATAGCTCATTTAGGAAAGCATAATGTTATGTAAATTGCTATTTAAACAGCAAGGCTAGATTCTTAAATGTATCAAAAGGTTCCAATTAAGGTCATTAAATGCGGTTGACCAAGGTGAAAAAGCGACCACAAATACAAATTTTACCCTTGCAACAGCTTATCAGCAGGATACAGCTGCTGTATCAGCCTGAAGAAATATAAGCTTCTAGGACTGATTTAATTAGGATCAAATGACCTTCTAAATGTGTAAGTTTTAGTAACCAACTTCCAATACCCTTTGGCCATTTAGTTGTTGTTTCTGTAACAAACTTAGTTTTGTGTTTTACAGGGCTTACTGGGAAGAACTGGACATCCTGGTCCCATGGGAGCAAAGGGTGACAAGGTACAGAGGAATTGGGGCTTGGGGTAAGAGCAGGGTGAGACCATTTACAGAAAGAGCTGTAAGATCAAGCAAAGCCTGAAAGTAGAAATGATGTCGGGGAGTTGCTATGCTTACAGTATACTTGGAAAAATATAGGTCCAAAAGTTGGTCTGAGCACAGGAGATATATTCCCAAGGGAAAGGAAGAAGAGAACATTTGTATCATATAACAAAAGTCCCACCTGGATTCAGGATCCTGAGCAACCATCCACGTGGAAGGATGGGGGTAGAGGAAGCCTCCTGAAGAGCTGCAAGTAAAGTGGTTTGTATTAGGGAGTTTCAGCCACAGGCGCCATCTTAGTTCGTTCAGACTTCTATAACAAAATACCACAAACATTTATGAGTATGTCTCACAGTTCTGGAGATTGGGAAGTCCAAGTTCAAGGTGCTGGCACATTTTGGTGTCTGCTGGAGCCCACTTTCTTGTTCCTAGATGGTACCTTCTAGCTGTATCCTCACAGAGTGGAAGGATGACCAAGCTCCCTTGGGACTCTTTTATAAGAGCACTAATCCTATTCATGAAGGCACCACCTTTGTGACTTAATCACTTCCAAAGGCCCCACCTCCTAATACATCAGACTAGGGGGGTAGGATTTATCATATGAATTCTGGGGGGACATGAACATTCAGACCATAGCAGGTACCAAGGTTCCAGGCAGCATGCAGGCTAACAGGACTAGGATTCCAATCATCATAGGGCTTGCTGAGACCATCTGGAAGTTTTATCCCTAGAGGGCCATAGGGGAAATTCAAAAAGGAACCAGGGCAGTTTGTTTCCTAGGGAGGCCAGTTACAGGACAAATGGGTTGCTGTGCTCAGTAGGGAGGACCAGCAATAGAGGAGTCTGCAGGAAGACTTCAGGGCTTCATGAGTTTACTCGATTTAGCATCTCCATCTACATCATTAGTACAGGAGGATCCAGCCAAAGAGTGGAATGATCCCAGCTGTTCAGATTAGGGAAGTAAGAATCAAGAGTCCACATGAGTCACTCAACAGGCTTCCACCCACTAGTCAGGATACAAGTTCCCTGACCAACATGGACCTTAATGGCATCGAGGAGCAAAGGAATCCCAACAAATTTAAAAGGAAACAATGTGCTTATTCTAGAGAGTCTCAGCACATTTTTTTCTGGTATTATCCCGAGGAGCTTGCCCAACCCCACCAGCCTTTTTTTCTCTGTTCTCTATGGAAATTATTCAATCATACACTTGCCTTTGAAGTTAATGGGCATTCCACACTGAGATGAGCTCTGGGGCAAAAATGAGAGTGAAAATATGACTTTTGATTGTGCCAGGGGGAAAAAAGGCCTTTTCTACTGAAAAGCATTTTTCCCTGTTTGTTGACTCCTGAGAACTATGACATAATCTCCGAAGGACGCTGGCAGCAGTCAGCAGAATATGGCATCTTAGAGAGAGAGAGCCACAGTCAAAGCAGTTTGGGAAGAAATACAATATACCTATTTGTCACACATTCTCAGGCAGATACATTGCAAGAAACACTTTACAGTTTATTTTCACTGATAAACATACAAACAAAAGATTTTATGATTCTTTTGTTACTAAAAAAAATGAGAGAGTATTGGTATGAAATCCTTCATCAAATTTATGGGGAAAAAATGAGTAAAATCCTTCAACTTTCTTGGGCACTGTGAGCAGAAATCCTCTGGATTCTTTTTTTAATTAGCCATTTCTTGCCATTGCCCATGACATAGAGGTACTTAGAATTTTGTATGAGACTATTCTTCTAAAAGAAAAAGCACAGTTACAGGAAGAACTAGTGAGAGACAGCAGAGGGATTACAACAGCTCTGCTTGCTATGGACTGATGAGCATCTATGGTTTGTAGAAGTAAATGTGAAATATATTTTTCAAGTTTCAACTTGAATTCATTTTTTGCAAATTCCATTTCTAGCCTGCTTTTCCTGTAAGCAGAGTGTCTAAGGCTGTTTAAATTGTATAGACTGTTTCCCGTAAACAGTGTTATACCGCAGTCACTTCTGTTCAGGGAGACGACTGACTTGGTTATAAAGTCTGATAGTAACTTAGGAAATGGAAGAAGTTTCTCCTCCTGCAAACACGCACACAGGTTGTGATTGTCTCCTGCAGTTTAATGTGAATGGCCACTCTGGTTCCCAAAAGCTGAAGGTTTTGGAGGTGAAGATTAAAGTGAGGGCTGACTATTAGAGCCACAGTCCCAGAGCTCACTGCCTGCTTGTAGGAACTCTGCTCTGTACCCCCATGTTGGGAGAGTTCCCCCAGCGCCACTTGGAGTCCAGGAAACAATCACCCCAATTGTCTGGCTCCATCTGTAAATAAATGAGCTTCATCCCTAAAGCTCAGACAGTGAGAATCTGATTAAGCATAGGGAAAGGCATTTATCTTTCCTGCAGTCAGGATATTTATTTTCCTTATATGCACATAAGTGTTTATCAATTAGTTCTAATTTAATGGTGAGTACGTGTGGTGTTTGTTTTTTCCATTCTTGTGATATTTCACTTAGAAGAAGGGTCTCCAGTTCTATCTAGGTTAATACAAGAGGTATTAGTTCACATATAGCAATAACATTCATCAGAAATCAAGCAGGTGGGAGGAGGGAGGAGAGGATGGGTAAATTCACACCTAATGGGTACAATGCACACTATCTGGGGGATGAGCACTTTGACTCAAATGGTACAAAAGCAATTTATGTAACCAAAATGTTTGTACCCGCATAATATTCTGTAATAAAATTTAAAAAAAAAAAAGAAATTTATTTTCCTGTGTAAAGGAGAAAGCCAAGTTGAATAAGACTGTGAGTGACTAAAACAAAACAACAAGCCATATTGATCTAAGAAGATATTTCTCTGAGCAAATTCAGTCTGGTTCATAAACCTAGGATAGACATGTCTAAGCCACTGACATCCGTCTATATATCCCTTACAGGGCAACGAGGGGCCCCCTGGGCAACCCGGACCGCCAGGACCACCTGTGAGTTGTTTCAGGTTTAAAACTTAACATTCCTATGTTTGCTTAGAGCCTTTTATAACTCAAAGGCCAGACCACATTTATATGGTTTCAGAGATAAAAGTCTTCCGAGTTTTATGTATGAATATAAACAATAGCCAATGTAGCTTTGGGAGAAATGATTTGTTCTCCCTTTGGCTCAGCCCCAATATGCAATGCTCAGTTTGCATCCTACCCTCCCGTGTCTCCCCGAACATAAGACCTACCCATAAAATAAGCCCTAGCAGGATTTCTAAGCATTTGCACAATATAAACCCTACCCTGAAAATAAGACCTAGTGATGGGCGTGGCTACGCAGCCAATCTGCACAACCCATGCATTTCGTCTGGGAAAGGTAAAGAAGAGGAGCAGCCCTTCTCATCTGCCCCATCGTGACAGCTACTTATCCCAGAGGTGACCGGAAAGGTGCGGGCAGCCCCACCAACAAGGTCGGCTCCCCCTGTCAGGTCCCCAGCCGATGGTTCTAAAGTAAATAGAGTCGTAAGGAATTCAGGATGGAATTTGGGGTTTGGAGAGTTATGATGATGTTCCAGAAGAAGATGACTTAACTATATTTGAGTAAATATAGACTGTTGTACCATACTTAAAAAAAGAACACATCCCCTAAAAATAAGCCCTAGGGTGTCTTCTTGAGGAAAAATAAATATAAGACCCTGTCTTGTTTTCAAGGAAAAACGTTACCTCCGATTCAGGAGATGAGGGCGTGCGCTCTGACCCCACTTCCTTCCTGGGAGCCTCTGGGAAAGTCACTTAACCTCAATGAGCTTCATTCACAGAAAAGGGAGGGGCTGCGGAAAAGAGATCCCTTCCAGCAATGCGAGTTGGTAGAAAATGTGGTATTATGCTATGCGTGCTCATTCCTTTCCATGATGTTTGACATGCAAGGAAACTCTATTTATATAGCTCCCAGTGAACAAAAAGTACAAGAGCCATCGATGCTCTCACGTTCCTGATTGAGACGGAAGCGCACTCCGTCAGCAAGGCTGTGGAGAGGCGCCGCGGTGCCTCTCTCCGTGACAAGTCTGCCCTCGTGTGGGGCCATGCTCACATCGCAGCAGAGCTGAGGTTCAGGCCAAACACCCTTCTCTGCCCTACCTCACAGCAATACTTTAAGAAGCTAAACTCACCCGAGAGGAGGGCACATATGACCAAGACTTTCCAAAGACAATGAGGATACATTACTAGTCTGCATGCAGTTGCACCTTTTGCACCCATAAATTGGCACTCTGCTTCCTAAACTTGTTTCCTAAACCTGTTCATCTTTGTGACTGACTTCCTCCCTTGACAAGGAAGCAGGACAGAAAGTATTTGGGGGGTTCAAGTTCTAAAATACGTTCCCTCCCCTGCGGACAGAACAGCAAATATAATATGAGCTCATGAAAGGGACCGGTGATTTTATAATGGGCTTAAGAAATCTTTCTCTTCTCCCTGAAGTCTTCAAAACCATTTATCCTTCAAGACACAGATTAAAAGTTATCTTCTCTGGGAAACCTCCTCTGGAAATCTCAGACAAAATATCCTTCAACCCCCTAGGACTTAGCACACTAAAATCTATTATAGTAGATACTCAGTAACTGTCAAGTGAATGAGCAAAACAATAAAGGAATAAATAAATAGAGCGTTTGTTCTCTATCACTAGCGTTGTGAAGATGCATGCAGATTGTGTTCACAGAGCACCCCTAGCCAGCAATCACCCACAAAAAATGGCACAGAAGTGACTTCTTCAGTTTTGCAACTGAAATGTGCAAATTACAAAAACGAAAATGCTGATTTGATTGATTCTATGGAGATATTTTAAAAGAAGGATAAAAGATACTAACTAAAATTTTCATATGCAAATTCTTCCTAAATGCTAATGTGTATGATTTTTTTTTAACTGTAGAATATGTTCTCTTTACATGTTGGTTACTCTAGGACATCAATTTTTTCTGAGAAATCTTGTTCCCTATTATTCTAAAGATTATGCATTTGTAGAAACATCCACACAGGATTGTGCATAACATCATCTCCCCATTTACCTTAATTTTCTATTTGGCATGAAGAGACTGTGGGAAAAAATTACTTTTCAGTAGCCAAATTGTTCCCTATTCACATCTCCATCAGCACTACCACATTACAGCCACAGGGTCAGCAGGCTGTAAACAGTTAGCATAAATTGGCAACGCAGAACCTGAATTTTAATGAGCAAATATTTTCCTCTGCATGCATTAGTGTCTCATCTTTCAAACCTGAACATTAATCAAACCCCAGCGAAAGTGTGTGTATGCTCCAGGTGTAGCTCATACGCCTTTTCATTTCTTTCTCTGCATTCGCTTTGGAAAAGCTAAAAAGAGAAGCATTATATTAATTTACTTATAGTACTAAACTCACTTTCTAAAGTAGACTGGGAAACATTAAAAAACAACAAATAGAATAGGAATATCATTTGGTAAAATGGAAAAAGGTAGAGATACTAAGTATTAACTTATGGGAATAATTCTATCTCATTTTTTTCCTAAGGGTGCACCATTCAGTGAAGGAAATGGCATGAGCAGTTTATATAAAATCCAGGTATTTACAATTGTAATTATTTAAAATCACTTTCTAGTTATAAGTTGCTATAAATTCTTCTCATCTCTTTCTTTTTCTTTTCTTTTTTTTTTTCTTTGAAGGGAGGTGTGAATGTTCCCAGTTACCCAGGACCACCCGGTCCCCCTGTAAGTACCATTGTTTATCACCAAGCACACTTTAGCTGAGCAGCCACAGTGAAAAACAAACGAAAACCCCTAATTTTACTGAAAAATGCATATTACAAATATAACCAAATTTTACAGCAGGAGGAAATAAGTGAAACCAAGTAAAAAAACAAACCAATTATAATAAAACTGAGAAAATGTACACAGCCAAAATAATGAAAAATAACATTTCTCATAGTGGTGTCTTTTTTTTCATTGTAAATCTAAGAGTTAAGTCAATGTCCAAGCAATCCCTTTCATGGGATTCCCATAAAGTTATTTTTCTTCATCTATTCTTCAAAACCAAACTGTAACAAAAGCAAAATTTGCAAATATTTTTATGTGCATTAAAGCAAATTGGAAAAAAAAATGTTTCATATTCTGTAATTTTGCTTCAGTCATTGCTTAAAAAATGACTCTCCATGTTTTTCTTACAGGGCCCAAAAGGCGATCCTGGCCCAGTGGTATGTGTGTTCCTATGTCTTGTGTCATTTAGAATATAGGTCTTTGTTCAAGTTCCAAAGAAAAGTATAAGGCAAAATTGCCTGCCTTCCTAGGTGTTCATCAATTAACATGTTGGAGATGACAAGCCACCAAAGAAATGCCAGCAATGTGTTCTTTATTTTTAAGGGGCATTAGTCCTGATGTCGTCACTGCCCTTGAGGTCTGTCTCTTTCCATCAGTGTGTTCTAAAAAGCGTTCTGTGATGGACAAGGACACACATAAGGCTCCTGATAAATGGGATACTTTCTCCTAATAATCCTCTTCTGATGATTGATTCAATTTTAAGTAGATCGTGGAAGAGAAATGCTTATTGAAAAGAAATTCTGTAATATGTCTGCCATCTCTTCAACAAAAAAAAAAAAGGAAGAGACTGTTTATTTGCTTTGAATGTCTTAGGCAATTATTCTGTGAGAGATGTGTGTTGTCATAAACCTGCTTATTAGGAGGAATGTATCGGGAGGTTACACTCAGCACGGAAGGAGATCATGCCCTCCAGCCGCCCAAAGGATGATAATTGGTAGCAGCATCTTTCTCAAAAGGAGCCTCACTGTAAATGTTCTGCCAAATCCAATCAGATTCTCTTTATTCCCGGGCGTTTTTTCCTGTCATGTCTTTTTCAAGCATATGTTCCGCCCTTCATGTTTCATTTGTATATCCTTTTAACCTTTGGGTATATACTTGAAACTCAAATGCACCTAAAACTGAAAAACTTTCAAACCACTTTCCATTGCCACATGAAAAAATCTAAAGCCCTTTCATTATAGGACTGTTTGGTAAAGGTCAAATACATTTTAAACCAGCAAAGAAACAAACCATAAAAAGTAACATTTTTATATCTAAATATATTTTTGAAGGAGATGCATTAAAGAACTTATTGTTTTGTTGTTGTTATTGGGCAATATATATTAAAAGCCGATGTGTTTTCCCCTGAAAGCGTTATTTCAACTAGTTAGTATGATATTCTAAACTCCAAATATGTAATGTAGAGGTTTTTTTTATTTTACTACTTATGCTGCCCTTTCTCTATCTGCAACACGTTTTATGTTGCACATACTATATCCTTTCACAAACTATATCCTTCCTTGTAATTTTAATTTTCTTTCATCTTGTTGGTAAAAATTTCCTCCTGGTCTTTCCCTCTCATATGCACACACAAAAAAAACAGCCTCTCTGAATCATTTGTGTGCACCTAGACTTCTCACTGACTTTTCTGGAACATTGTTTTAAATTCTTACATGAGTATCTGCAGATTAAGGTGAGAAAGTTTTTTTTAAGTATTGTGATAAAGGATAAATTATAATTCACTTGCATTGGAAAGTGGCTGGCAAAAAAAAATATGTAGATGTATTTAAATAGAATATAAAGAATTAGGCTTCAAATTTCTTAGTTGCAACAAAGGATAAAGAATAAAAATGGATTGAAGGATGTTCCCTGATTTTAGAGTTGTGAATTAAATGAGTGAAGCACAAAGACAGAAAAATTCAATGATAAAGTCACATACACATTGAGTGTACAAGTTCAGGCTTATCCTAGGTAAAACTCTGAAATCATTCTTTTGGGTCATGTGTCAGCACCACTATACAACTCTCATCATCGCAAACCAGTTGCCCTGTATGGAGAAATAATATGCCATGGAAATAAGCCAGGAACGGTAGAATTTTAGGTCACAGGGTGAAAAGTTGAGAAGTCCTTTTGAGGAGGGTAGAAGGAAATTTACTCATCCCAAAATCCTTCAAATCCCATGACAATAGATCTGCACCATTTCCAATCTGCTCAGTAAACCTTTATAAAGAAAATTTACCCTTAACTGAATTTATTACCCTCTGAGGTATACTACTTCATTCCTATGGTGTTCAATTTTTAAGTGATCATCAACTAAATATTTAATTATCAGCTACTTTCAAACAAATATTGATTGATTGATTGATTGAGCACTTCTTATGTCTTAGGTGCTATTGAGTATGTAAGCAAAGAGAATCAAAGAGTATATTCCCTTTATCAGTAACCCAGGGCCTCTTTTACAGAGCTCTGTGCAGAATAGAATCTGAACATCTTTTTTTTTTTTTAATTTTGATTGATTGACAAGTTACATATGAAGTGTCATTTAAAAAGATTTCTGAAGCATAAAAAGTACTAAGTCATATGCTCACTCACTAAATATTCTGTAATAAAGGAAATACCATAAATAATAGTGGAAGTTAGAGCCTTGGTAATATTTTTGAAGAAGGTTAGAGTTATATGTGCAAAAATACATTCACAGAGAATAAAGTTTGAAAGCTCCCTTTGTGATTATGTTTAAAGCAGTGGTCCCCAACATTTTTGGCACCAGGGACTGGTTTCATGGACTTTTCCACAGACTGGGGTGGGGTGGGGTTGGGGGATGGTTTGGGGATGATTCAAGTGCATCACATTTATTGTGTACTTTATTTCTATAATATTCCTATTACATTGTCACTTGCCAACTCACTAATAGGATTTTGCTATGACTTTGCAAGCAACTGATTTATTTTGGTCTCTGGGCAATCAAACCTCTGTGCTAATGATAATCTGTATTTGCAGCTGCTCCCCAGTGCTAGCATCACTGCCTCAGCTCCACCTCAGATCATCAGGCATCAGATTCTCATACAGAGTGTGCAACCTAGATCACTCTCATGTGCAATTTACATAGGTTCATGCCCCTATGAGAATCTACTGCAGGATTAGGACCAGAGGTGGAGTTCAGGTGGTGATGCAAGTGATGGGGAGTGGCTGTAAATACAGATGAAGTTTCCCTCGATGCTCACCACTTACCTCCTGCTGTGCAGCCCTTTCCTGACAGACTGGTCTGCAGGGGTTGGGGTGGGGGGAGGGATTGGGGATCTCAGGTTTAAAGCATCCAACATCCTAGTATTTGCAGTGAACATTAATTCATTAACAAGAAAGTATCAAACAAACAACTCCCCACTATACCTCTTTCTTGATTTAAAGCTCTACTGCCTGTTTGTTCAAAGTTAGCAACTTCTTTCATGAAAGCTTTTCCAAATATGTTCCTTGAAGATCCACAGGCTCCAGTTAGCCTGGGACCATACACTAGAAAATGTAAAATATTTTTTAATGGAAAATGCTTACCTATGTCCTTTTCAGTTACCTATCAGCTTGAGCAATGACTTTTAGAATTATTAGAGATGCTGCTCTTGGGTTCATCTTCTTGGGCATTCACAATTCATGTACAGCTCCAGAGAATATTTAAAGAGAGTAAACTCTGCTTTGAGCACTCCATCTTCATCTACTCTTAAATAAGAGTTTAGTCTTATCATCTGGAAATCTAGTAGCACCTCGTACCTCACAAATTGGGAAAGTTTACTAAAGCCCAGCCTTTCATTCTAATTCTTATTGAAATTAGAGTTATCTATCACTAGAGGGATTCGTTCTGATTAGATTGTCAATCAGAATAAAAACAATTACTCAAAAAATATACCTTTCTGGAGAAAAGCTTTTATTTTCAAACTGTTTTCAAATGTAAGATGCAATAATAATACATTGCTTAAAAATATAGCATACCACTTACTTGCTAAATTACGAACCAATGTTTGGGAGGAAGGTTGAACAAAAAATATCTTTGCTTTTGAAACCAACACTTAAAAACCTTTTGACTGTTGACCTTGCATTTCTTATGTTCATATTTAACAGGGAGAGCCTGGCGCAATGGGGTTGCCAGGACTAGAAGGATTTCCAGGTGCAAAGGTAAGCACAGAAGTCAGAAATGTGTTCATTCATTCAAGATTCTAAAATGTTTCCTTGACATCCACTGCTGTGCCAGGAATTGTTTTAAGTTTGAAGATACATAAGGGAAAAAAACAAAAATGTCTGTACCTGTGGAACTTATATTCTAGCAAGGGAATACAGAAGCTACAGAATAAACATTAAAAAAAAACCCAAATAATAGTGTTGGTAAGTACTATGGAAAGAAAAAAAAAATGTAAAACAGGTTAAGAGAGATCAGAAGTGCTGGACAGGGCAGGGTTGTGATTTTAGAGCAGTCTGAGAAGGTGAGATCTGGGGGAGTTAGCTAAGTCTCCTCAAGTCTGAAGGAAGAATGTTCCGGCAAGAGGAAACAGCAGGTCTAAAGGCCCTGAGACATGAGACTTTTCTGCCATATCTGGAGAGACCAGGGGAGAAAGTGAGGGGAGAGTAGTAGGAGATGAGGTCACAGAGGTGGAGAGAGGTGAGGAGTGGTCTTGTTGCACAGAGCAATGCTACTTACTCAGTATGTGGCCAGTGTGGCAGCAGTCCCCAACCAAATTTGGCACCAGGGACTGGTTTCATGGAAAAAAATTTTTCCACAGACAGGGTTTGGGGATGATTCACGTGCATTACATTTATTATGTACTTTATTTCTATTATTACTAGATTGTAATATATAATGAAATAATTATACAACTCACCATAATGCAGAATCAGTGGGAGCCCTGAGCTTGTTTTCCTGCAACTAGAGGGTCCCATCTGGGGGTGATGGGAGACAGCGACGGATCTGACAGGAGGTGGAGCTCAGGCGGTGACGCGAGTGATGGGGAGCTGCTGTAAATACACATGAAGCTTCGCTCACTTGCACCTGCTCACATCCTGCTGTGTGGCCCAGTTCCTAGGTTCCTAACAGGCCATGAAAGTGGGGCAGGGGTACAGGGGATGGGGAGCGTTGGGGACCACAGCAGTAAAGGACCAGTGCTGGTCCACAAGCTCTTTGTTACGGGTTCTGTGGCAAGGTAAGTAAAGAGAGTGAGAGTAAGCATCTAAAAACATGTCTAGTAATTTGTTTAAAATTGTCTAGCAAGTGTGTGATCAGTAGACTTATCCTGATTCGTTACATATTAGAAAATACTTAAGTAAAGAAACTGCTCCTTCACCATAGGTAGTTTGAGAAGCACTAATAAGGATGCTTATCAGCCATTGTAAGAACTTTATCTTTCACTCTGAGCAAAATCCAGAGCCATCAGTGGTTTCTGAGTATAGGAGTGACAGAACCTGCAGTTGGAGAGCAAGGGAAGCCAGTTACAAGACATCCACTAATCCAGGTGTGAGTTGATATTGGCTCAGATAAGAGAAGAAACAGTAGAGATGGTGAGAAGTGGCTGGATTCTGGATATGTTTTGAAGGTAACACCAACAGGAGTTTGGGATTGATTGGATGTGAATATGAAAGAATAAAGAGGAATCAAAGATCATTCTAAGGTTTAACACCTGAGCAACTGGCGTGATGGAGTCGTCATCAACTGAAATGAGAACAGGTATAAGCAGAGGCTATTTGGAGGAGGGTGAGGATTATCAGGAGTTTAATTTTTGGATATAAGACTAAATTTGAAGATATCTTTTAGACAGCAAAATATCGAGTAGAAAGTATGATATAAAAGTAAGTGTAGAGTTTGGAAAAGAAATCAAAGTGGAAATATGAATTTGGCTGTCCTAAGCATATAGATGCTATCTTAATGCCAGGAGAATAGATAAATTCAACAAGAGAACAACAGTAGAAATTTTAGAAAGAGAGGCCAGGGACTGAGCTCTGAGGCCATCCAATATTAATAAGAGAAGAAGGAAGGAGCAACGGAGACTGAGAAGTGACCAGGGAGGTAGGAGGAAAACTTGATATCCTAGAAGCCAGGAGGAAATAATGATCAAAGAAAAAGAAATGCTCACCTGTCCCAAATACTGCCAATAGGTCAAGTAGAATGGGAATAAGGTAAATTAGGATGATCAAGCATTAACCATTGCATTTAGCAATGTAGAGGTCATTAGATGACCTTAACCAGAGAAATTATTACTATTTCACTGTTTGGGGAGAAGACCATAGAAATACCAGAAAGCTTATACATGAAATGGATGACCCCATAGAAAGGGTGAGGATGGGGATGATGTTATAACAGAGAGAGAGGAGAATTACTGGAACAATGTCTTTAAATAGCTAAGAGGGAAAGGGATGTAGTGCATAAATGGAGGCTTCAGAGAGGATAGTTTATGGTACACATGGGAAAGCAGTGTATTGGGGCAGATGGTGATAGGTGGGAAAATGTTTGACTGGAGTCCATAAAGTTATTTTCTGATTACTTAAATTTTCTCAGAGATATGGGGGAAGCAAGGTCATTACCTGAGAATGAGATAAGGAAAGGAGATTGAGGATTTAAGGAGAAAGTCCTTGAGGAAAGAGAGAAAGAGTGTGTGTGAGTGAGTTCAGGGACCACAGAAATGTGATGGCTGGTCAGCTCTAGTGACCCTCTTGAGGTTCATGGTCATGAACTGACATGAGACCAGTCAGCTAGATTATGTGTGCTTCTCCAGCATGTACAGATATTCAGGTAAAGGAACAGAATAGGAAGGGAGTTGGATTTGAACAATGTCCTGCTTTTGCCAAGTGAGTACTAGAAGCAAGAAAGGGGCAAGAGAGTTAATGGTGTACACAGGAAGTGGTTATAAAAAGTGGCCATGGGATTTTTAACAGCAAAGAAGGGAGAGAGACCATCCAGGAAATGAAAGATAGTGAAAAATTTGTGCCATCAATGGATTAGAGGTCTTGGGGTTCAAGGTACTCGAGGGAATGAGTTAGAATGATGGGGAATGGTAGTCCAAAGTTGGAATGCGTGAAATTGTGATTGTGGAGGAGGTCCAGATATTTTATTGACAAGGTGCCAGGTGTAACTGTAGAATAAGAGGCAAGATCATTAGAGGAGAGTGGCCCAAGGAAATGAAAGACCCAAATGCTGGGAAGACCATCCTGTCAGAGGGACATCCTCTTAACTTTAATCTTTATCAGATATACAAATGTTTCCCCTGAATTAAAAGTTCCTGTATATTCATTTCAAGGTTGAAGATTCCATAATTTAAAAGGAGTGGAGTGAAACTGAGGGATATTACCTGTTTACATCATTTGCCCATTTTTCTATTAATTCTTTTTTTTCTTTTTGATGGTGGCTATGGTTTAGATGTTAAAAATATTAATCCTATCCTATATGTTGGAGTTTTTATCCTAGATGGTCTTTGCCTTTCATTTTGATGTTTAATCTTATTGTAAATATAACTTTAGTATAGTCAAATCTAAAACTATTTTTCTTTATGATTTCTTGTTTTGCTTTTATGCACAAAAAACTTTTATTTTCATTTTCAACCAAGATCAGATGGTCACTAATATAGTCTTCCAGCTCTTTTACAGTTTGGATTATTTTATTTTATTTTACTTTTATTTTCAAATTTTTTTAAAAATTAGTTTTATTTTTAAGTATTATGGGTGCATAATAGCTGTGTATCTTTATAGGGTACATGTCTGTATTGCTTCTCACTGGAAAAAAAAGAAAAATAAAATAAAAATATAGGTACATGTCATGTTTTGATACAGGCATACAATGTGAATTAATCGAATCAGGGTAATTGGGGTATCCATCACCTCGGGGATCTGTCATTTATTTGTGTTAGGAACACTCCAATTTCACTCTTTTAGTTATTTTAAAGTATACTCTATTGTTGACTATAGTCACTATGTCATTATATAAATATTTCTCATTCTATCTATCTATATTTTAATATTTTTATACCCATTAAACATCTCCATGTTATTTTCCCCTCCATGCTACCATTCCCAGCCTCTGTTAACCACAAGTCTACTCTTTGTCTTCATGAAATCAATTGTTTTTAGTATTTAGCTCCCACATATGAGTGAGGACACATGAGCACTCATTGTCGCCCTTCTTTTTGATGAAGACCTTTTTAACTCGAGTGAGATAATATCTCATTGTAGTTTTAATCTGCATTTCTCTTATGTCTAATGAGGCTGAGCATTATTTTGGATGATTTTAGTTTGTATGTAAGTCTATATGGAATTTACATGGGACATAATGTAAAGAGAGGAATCACTTTTTTCAAATAAATTATCCAGTTATTAACACTATTTGTTGAATAATACATCCTTTTCTTTACTAAAATTCTATAATAAATGTTGGTCTATTTCTGAGATTTGTTGTATTGATATACTGCTAAATCTTATGCCAATATTCCATTATTACAATTATTATGGCTTTATTTATTATATGCTTAAATATTGGTATTGCTAGTATCTTCATTATTCTTTTAGTTCTTTATCCTCTCATTTATTTATTATCCCAAGTAAACTTTAATATCTTTTGATCAAACTGCAATTTTGTAAGAATTGCATTGAATTTATAAATTAGTTTGGGTAGCAATGACATCTTTACAACATCGTCTTGCCCTCCAGGAACAAAGAATATCTCTTCAGTAAATCAAGTCTTCTTTTATGTCCTTGAGTGAAGTTATGAAGTTTTTTTTAATGTAGGTCATGCCCAACAAAATTGCCATTTTATTATCCCATATATATAATCATTAGTATTTTTAGCATTGTCAGCTTTATCTAAAATACCACATTGCCTCTCAAAAAGGAGTTGAGTCACTCTGTTACTCAGAGCAATTCAAGGAATCTTCTGATTGGTCAAATGAAAAGAACTACAAATCACTAGTTCTAGATCTTTTTATTCTAACCCTACATCCAATGAGACAAAGATAGGAAAAGCTTTTTAGAAGACACTCACTGTGCTTAATCTTTTAAGTAATAGTAATGATGTTTTGAATAAAAATATTGACTAATTTTAGCTGTCTGTATGCAGTCCTATTAAAAAATAGGTCACAGAAATGACAACACAAATGCTTGTTTCCATTAAGGCTATACTTTACTTTGGTTTTATATTGTTTAAAAAGCTGTAACAGGTTCAGTTGGCTACTCTTGTTTTTCTATCTTCCTACTAGCTTCATACCAGTTAATATTAATAACACTTATCAGACCCAAAGAAAAGCTTTACCAGATCCAAATTATTATTTAAAAATTAATTTTATAAGTAAAGATGTTATAGATATTATTATAAGTAGCAATTTTTTTAATCCCAACAGGGAGATCGAGGCCCAGCAGGACCCCCGGGAATAGCCGGGATATCGGTGAGTTCAGATTATCTCACATCATTTTCACAGGTAAACATTTCTATCTCCATGAAAAATATATGGCCAAGGACCAAAAGGGGATAGAGAGCATACTGTAACTCCAATGGCATTAGGTTCCTGAAACTTTTAGGTTAATAAATAAAACCACCTCTCTCTTTCCCACCTCAAGAATACTTCATTCTTTATTTTCACCATTTTCTTATTTTTTTGTCTTCTTATTTTTTTTCTTCCCAGGTCACTTTCATGGAGGGGAGGGAAAACCCAGTTACCTGTGGCTATCTGCTAATATTAATATATGAGAACAGCTCTGGAAAGCTTGTTTTGTTTCTCTATTCTTGTCATATTTCAAGGTTTCTCAATCTTCAAAAGGCAGAGTTCTTATCCTCTGGCATGTACTTCAGGTTCCTTATATTAAGCTGCAATCTGCCTGAGTTCTCTCTTAGCCCGGTGTTATTTGCAGAGCTTTATTGCTGCTAATGTTGCCTCGTAAACTAGCCCTTCAATCCTCTCAATCATTTTTGTTGCTCTCCAGTGTCAAATGTTTTAATCTTATCAAGGTCTTTTCGAATGAATAGGAAGAGCTCCAGGAAAGGTTGAAATCATTTCTCTGAGCCCTAGGGATCATTCTGATCTTCATTCATGATGCTCTAATTAAAATTTTGTGGTCACGCTTTATGAATAAGAGATCATTTATCCTTTTGCTAGGTGCCCTGCTGGGCAGGTCCAGGATATCATTAAAGGAAAGTCAGTGGGAACCATGTGCTTGGATCGTAGGAACATGAGAAAGATAAGAAAGGGCTCTATCATCACCACCCACCACCCCCCATGACATCTACTGACACCCAACACTACCCAAAGCCCCCATCACCCCCTGCCAGCCACCAACCCCTACCACTTAAAGTGCCAGGAGCCACTCTACTCCACTCCATTTAACTGCTTAATCTGATAATACAAAATAGAACCCCATCCATCATCTGTATCCTTTAGCGAGGATGACATCCCCTTAATTAGCTTTCTAGATCAAGTTAATTATTTCTATGATTGTGAAAGTAACATGAAAATGCTTTCTTTAGCAAACACTTCAGAATTTTTTATAAAAGGAAGTATTCTTCTTGAAAGTTGATGACACACTTAATTCCATCCCCTCCCCAAATGCCCTGTTCACTACCATTCCTAACAACATATTTGAAACTGCTTCTGGAATTGTCCTCAGAACACCCTTACAACCCACCCCCCCCTTACAGTCACATCCTGTTTTTGCTTCCGGGTGATATAATGAAGATACATTTTCTACTGTATTTACCCAAGTGTGACTACAAATTACTTTTTGCTATTCTCCTAAATCGAGTCTATCTTCAAGGAGAAAATACTGGCCACTACTGAAAGTATTTGAAAGATGTGCAACAGTCTCAAAAGGCAATCCAAATGAGGGATTCCATCGATATTTTTTAAGGATGCAGCATTGTTGAACTAAGAGGCTGGCCTGCCAAGCTCATTTGGATGTCTAGGATGTGATACATTTACTTAAAAAGCAATTTTCGTATCTTATAATTAAGAGCATTAACTGAAAATTACAGAAATAGGAAGGATTAAAAATTTTACACACTGCAGATATACAACTATTCATTTAAAGATGCACGTTTGGACTGTGGCTCAGAAAATAAAATAGTTAAATGGGTCTAGAAACAGATAGTGGTGATAGTTACATGACAATACAGATGTACTAAGTACCACTAAATGTACTTTGTATATTTAAAAATGGTTAAAATGGTATATTTTGTGTTATGTATATTTTACCATGATAAAAACAATTTTTTCAAAGAATGTGATTATTCTGGTTCAGACAGGGTTGGGCCTGCCCACTCATACACAGCATGGTCACTCAGCTGATTACCAAGAGGACCCAATACTGTTTTTTCTAGAACAGCCCAATCTATCCCTTTCTAGGATATTCAGGGATTTCCAGGGACTTCTCCAGAGCTCCTTTCCTCCCTTTTCTCCAAGGAAGGATACGGATATACTGCAGGAAGTGTGTGCTAGTGTTGGCCATGGGCTGGGGTCTTTGGTTAGCATGCTCTCTCCTAAATGCTCTGACTTCTCTGCTGGTCCTACCTGACCTTTGAGATTGCTGCTGCCTTCCATCAATGTCTCCGGTCCCAAGGCCCAAACACTCCATTCCCAGTGCCCCACACCAAGGCCCTTTTGGACACTGGCCTTCTCTGTTCTAACGTACCCCCAGCTCAGGCCCACAGGAACATCAGGGGCTCTGGCTTGCACACGCAGGCTGTGGGAAGCCGGAGCTGCCCTCCCAGACCCGTGTCTGTCCAGCTTTACCACTCAGCCGTACCCGTGACAAGGTCTCCTCTCAAAATTCTAAGCAGTAAGTGGGGAAAAGCCCCTTTCTTTTCATATTCCCCAAAAACCTACTGGGCTTTCTAAGGTCTCGAGCCCGCACCTCCATCCCCATGTTGTCTGTTTTTCCTAACCACATCAGGTCCAAGGGCTAGGAGGTGGTTTTCTTCTGGGAGGCAACATCGTAAGTCTGGTCCAGACACTTTGGCACTTCTCTGCTTCCAGTCTCTGCTGGGCTGTCGCCTCTGTCATCCCTCCCTGTGGTCCCCCTGCTCCAGGAAAGACTTCTCTGGTGCTCTGTGCCCTCCACCACTACCATCCCACCCCACCCCACAAAGCAAAGAAGAGCTGCCAGGAAAACAGGCACAAGAGGGATTTCTAACAATCAGGATACATTGGTTTAATCTTTTCAACAATATCCTACCTGCCCACCCCTCTGCCATCCACACAAATTTACATTCAGAGAACTGCCCTCTAGTCTGTACCTTACAGCCTGCAGAGCTGAGCATGTGTTCCCAGGCCTCCGGCCCCTTAGGAATGCCACTTTAATTTGGAGAGCCACAATCCTGGAAGCATCATTCAGTAATTTGGCTCCTAATGTTTCCCTTCCATTTGCTTTGCCAGGGAAAACCTGGTGCCCCGGGGCCTCCAGGCGTTCCAGGGGAACCGGTGAGTTGCCAGTTGCTTTCATAAGATTTGCACTTGTGTTGCACTTTGCATGCAGCTTTAAAGCATTTCTTGGCGATTAATTTTTGTCTGTGGATGTGTTTATAGGGTGAGAGAGGACCTGTTGGAGATATAGGTTTCCCTGGACCAGAAGGACCCTCAGGAAAGCCAGTGAGTACTTTTTACTATTTAAAATTTGTCACTTTGAAATGTTCTAAGTATTACCTCCTTCTGCCTGTCTCTTCGGAAATTCTTAAATTTCAATAAGCAGTTTCCAAGGAAATAAGAACAGGTTCTGCAAATGGATTTTCTGGGGTATGGGCACATTGTTTCACTGAGTTTTCTAGATATCTATGTGGTATCTTTATGTCTTAAACAATGGTGGAAAAGGTGACATTTTTGTGTTAAGTGCCAGAAAATTAGACTCATTATTTCTTAAGCCTAATGTTCTCAGCAGATTTAAAAAAATAAAATAAAATAAAATGGCCTGTCACATCTTAAAATAGAAAAAAACCAAAGGCTCACAGCTCTAATACCTGTATGTTAAGCTAAAGACTAAAGTAGAAGCTATTTTCTCAAAGTCCCTCTTTTATAAATGGGTCTTGTTCTTATACTTTCATAAATCACTGCTGCCAAATGGATCATCCCCTGGTGTCCTAAAAGTGCTCTGGGCTACTGATATATGGTATTGATGTGACATTGTAGCAATCATTCCTACTAATTCAATTCAGCATAAATTCATGTGGTCCCTGCTATTTGCTAAGGATGTGCTGGGCCCTTAGGGAGGGGATATAAAGATGGATAAGACATATCCTACTCTCCGGTTCATTCTTCATAGAAGGTCACTGCTCCCTTTGCTTGTTTATTTGCCATGGTGCATGTGGCAGGAGGGGTCTTCCAGGAGAAGGGGGAGACTGAAGGTGAACAAGCAGTGCAGAGCTCGTGAGGCTGGTTCAGCACCACTGTGAAACCTTCAGGGTTGGTGGCCTTTATCTCTGCAGAGAAGACAACATGAGAAAATGGAAAGCATATGCAATTTAGAGTCAGGAAGATCTGGGTCTGAATTATGACTCAAAGGGCTGTGTGAGTCACTTCAGTGACATGACCTATGGAATGCATTTCCAGTGCCTGACCATGGGAGGTGCTTAGTAACACTGGCTTAATTCCCTGCCCCCCTCCCCAACCCCCGAAAGCCATCTCATAAAAGCTTGCCACTGGGTCATCAGGAGATTGTGCAAAAAGCAGTTTGTTCATTCAACAAATATTTCTTGAGCACCTGCTATATGCAAGGCACTGTTCTGGGTGCTAACAACTCATGGGGTTTGCATTCTAGGATAGGAACCCAAATAAAAAACAAACACACACACAGGTTCAGACAGAAAAAAATCTAAGTAGAGTGAAGCACTAGGTAGTCATTTAGATAGGGAGGTCAGAGAAAGCCTGTTCACGATCGGAGCAGAAACCTGCATGAAGTAAGAGATCAAGCCATAGGGAGGTAGAGAGAACCGTTGTTTCAAGAAAAAGAAATGACAAGTTGAGAAGGGAGTCTTATGAGGTCAAGGAACAGCAAAAGGCATGAAGTCGAGAATGAACTATGTGAAAGAGGAGTGGGGAATATGTGAGGGAGACGTAAGCAGTGGCCAGACCACAAGGAACTTCTAAGCCAGGGAATGGAATTTGGATTTCATTTGAAATATGATAGAAACTCATTGGAGCTTTTGTAGCAAAGAACAAAAATGATGGGACTACATTTTAAGGATACTTTGACTATCGTATGGAGAGTACGCTGTAAGGAGCAGAGTGGAAGCAGACAGAAAGTAAGGAAGTATCCCCATAATCTTTATGAGAAATAACAATGATTGGAACAGGGAGGTCATGCTTAGGGGAATTCAACTAGTAGATACCCAAGTGGAGGTGTCAAGAGTGCAGTGGATAGATGCATCTGGAATTAATGGAGTGGCCAGGATTGGAAAGACTGGGCAAAATGGAGTCACTCTGGACAGGCAGGAAGGAAGCTCTTCAACTTTTAGGAGAGGACCCCGCAAAGAAGACTGAGAAGGTGTAGCCATGAGATATGAAGAAAACCAAGTGAATGAGGTTTCCCTGATGTCAGGTGAGCTAAGTATTCCAAGAGAAAAGAAAAAGGAGTAATAAACATACAGATAAGTAACATGAGGTCTGATAATTCTCCACTGGGTTTGAAAAATGTGAGGATCATTGGTGGGAGAGATTATAGTGTGTTAGTATCTTGCTAAGAATGATCCAGTTGAAGGGGGAAATTTGATGATACAAGAGAGTGGAGATTCCTATGAGTATTTCCTTTCTTCTGATCGTTAATCTTCCTCCTGGCTTCTAGCGGATATCAGTTGTCCCCTCCTACCTCCCTGGTCCAGCTTCTCAGTCTCCAGGTTTGCTCCTTCCTTCTTCTCTTCATTAAGTTTGGATGGCCTCTAGTAGCTCATCCCTGGCCCCCT